TTCGGCCAACGAGAGAAAAAAATAAATTTCTATGCAAAAAGCGAGTGAAATAAAAAGAGTGAAGTTTTTACATCAGCCAATGATTGTACTTTTGTACAAAGAGGCGTTTTTAAACACTAATGAGATTGATCTTTTTTTATCTAGTTCTATTGTTTCTCTTTTGTAGGACTATGAGGATGTCTTTTCTGAGGATACACCACACAGATTACCTCCTATCCGAGGGATTGAACATCAAATTGGTTTTGTACCCGGTGTGACAATTCCAAATCGACCAGCCTATAGTAGAAATCCTGAGGAGACAAAGGAGCTTCAAAGGCAGGTAAGTGAGTTAATGGAGAAAGGGTACGTGAGGGAGAGCATGAGCCCGTGTGCCATTTCGGTTTTACTTGTACCTAAGAAGGATGGGACTTGAGAATGGCGTTGACTGCCGAGCCATCTACAGCATTACACACACAAGGAATATAGGTTGATGAAGAAAAGATCCGGGCAATTCAAGAGGGGTCGAGTCCCACAAGCATAGGTAACGTATGGAGTTTTCATGGACTCGTTAGTTTCTACCGGCCATTTGTGAAAGACTTTAGTACTTTAGTAGCACCACTCACTGAGGTAATAAAGAAAAATGTTGGCTTCAAGTGGAGTGAAGAGCAAGAGAAGGCGTTTTAGTTCATCAAGCAAAAATTGACAAACGCTCCCTTGTTATCTTTACCTAACTTTAACAAAACGTTTGAGATTGAATGTGATGCTTCCGGGGTAGGCATTAGCGCCGTGCTTATGCAAGAAGGACGACCGATTGCGTATTTCAGTGAAAAGCTAAGTGGGGCAACTTTAAACTATCCGACATATGATGAGGAATTATACGCATTGGTATAGGCTTTGGAAACATGGCAGCACTACCTATGCCCTAAGGAGTTCGTGATTCACACTGATCACGAATCGTTGAAGCACTTGAAATGAACAAACTGAACAAGAGACGTTTCCATACGTCATCCATTATAAGCAAGGTAAGGAGAATGTGGTTTCATATGCACTCTCTCACCGCAAGTGCACATTACTCTCTACTCTTGATGCTAAATTGCTTGGTTTTGAACATATTAAAGAGCTAAATCCTCTAGACCATGACTTTAGTGAAGAGTATAGCGTTTGTGAGAAGACCGCCAATGGTAAGTACTTTAGGCACGAGGATTTCTTGTTTCGAGAAAATAAGTTGTGTATACCGAATTGTTCCGTACGAGATTTATTAATTAGGGAATCACATGGCGGGGGTTTGATGGGACACTTTGGGGTAGGTAAAACACTAGCCGTCTTGCAAGAACACTTGTTTTGGCCACACATGAAAAGAGTGTTGGGAATGGTGTCCTAGAAGCATAAGATGTAATAGGATATTTATTATTTATTTAATAAAATAGTTTATTCATCATTTTATGTGTATATATTTGTGAATATTTTATGAATATCAATGACAATTCTGTGATTATTTATGTAACCTTAAACATTGTATATAAGTGTTATATACGAGAGGATAATGTTCAAGGATAATAATCAAAAAGTAATGTTCATAATGAATTTAAATAAAGTTTGAAATCTTTAATTAAAACATTATTAATACATGTCATTCCCATTTAGAATGGAACGGTGTTATCCGCACTGTTAATACGGTGAGATATTGAATGAGTGTATTTCGCATAATGAGATTATGTGGAACAAGGACACAGACACAATATGAATTTCTAATAATTTCCGTTAAGTATAGAAATTATAATTGAGTCTACCGATGGTCATATATAGAATGATCTTAATCCCGTAAGAAAGAAGTAGATAAATAATTCTCTTTAGGGTTGATTCGGTACTTGGACCAGTAGGAGCTCTGATTCATGAATGTGTTTTATGAATCACTGTCCATTAGAGAATCAATGGTACTCAAGGATAAAGATTTAATTAGAGAGGTCAACGGATTTTACCTAGCTCTAATTATGAATTATTTATGGAGGATTGATCTATATGCAATGACTATATCAAATGGACACTTCACAGTTTAGAAGTAATTTATGTCTATAATTTTGAGAGTGCAATTCCAAGTTTATAGTGGAGTAACTATTGGAATTAATAGAATTAATTAATTAATTAAAGTGTTTAATTGATTATTAATTTTATTGGAGCTCGGGATTATAGGTCCATTAGTCTCCGCGTCGTCCTAGTAATTCTACCAGACACGAAGGACAAAATGGGAATTTTAGAATTATGAAATTCTAAAATTAAACACTCGAAAATAATTAATTGAGAATTAATTATTATTTAAATAATGTGATTATTTAAATTTGAATTTGAACACATCTAGATTTATCCATTTAAACTTATTTGATAAGTTGTTCAATTTAGAATTCAAATTAATTTAAGTTTGACTTAAATTGGAATTTGAATTTGAGTCAAAATTGGACTACAGGATAAAGGATGATTTTCTCTTCCTTCCCTATCTGAAATTGGCGCCACACAAGGATGAGAATCCCTATCTTGCCCGGTCACACTAAGGGATAAGGGAATAGGAGATTTTGTTTCAAATAAAAATAGGAGATAATTAACAAGCTTTATCTTGGAGATAGAGATTGGATTCCTTCTAGAAGTTTGACTTCTACTCTATAAATAAGAGAATAGTAGAAAATTATGAATATAATTTTTGAGACAATTTTTGAAACAATTTTTTGACCTAATATTGTATGATGGCCGAAATTCTCTTAGAGCAAGGGAAGAAAAAAAATTTCTCCAAAAATTCCACATCGTGCATGCGTTGGTGTTTGTAGAAATTCAAGTGTTTATTGCAACCCGTTTAGTCTCATGTGTGCCCACACACACGTCTTCGTGGATTCTAGGAATTGACGTGGAAGACATTGGTTTTCTAAACACAAAGCTTTGGAGCAAGGATTGTTCGAGGTCAAAGAACTCAAGTTATCATCCGAGTCAGCCTCCAGGTATTTTTCCTAATTGAGTTCTTAATAAATGAATTAATGAGATTAATTTATTCGTGCATAAATTAATATAATCTATAGAGTATCTCGAAGGTTTTATGAAAATTTTTGTTATACATGATCCGCCTCCCCCCCACGCTTCCGCATCCGAATTCGATTCGGAGACCAACAAAGAGATGTTGAGAGAATTTGTAGTAGATGTGTCACATGTAGGCAAGAAAAATCCCGAACGCAACCCCATAGTTTATACACGCCACTGCCCATTCCTAGTGAGCCCTGGATTGATATTTTGATGGACTTTGTGTTAGGGTTGCCTAGGAGTAAACGTGGTAGAGATTCTATTTTTGAGGTTATGGATAGATTTTCTAAGATGGGACACTTTGTTCCATGTTACAAGACGGATGATGCCTCACATGTTGCTGATTTGTTCTTTAGGGAGATTGTGAGATTACATGGTATGCCTAGAACAATTGTTTTGGATAGAGATGCTAAGTTCTTGAGTTACTTTTGGAAGACTTTGTGGGGTAAGTCAGGTACTAAGTTATTGTTTTTTACTACTTGCCACCCACAAACTAATGGTCAAACCGAAGTAGTAAATAGGACTTTGCTTACTTTGTTACGGGCTATTATTAGAAAGAACATTAAAACATGGAATATTGTTTACCACATGTTGAATTTTTTTATAACCGTACTGTTCATTCTGCTACTAAATTTTCACCATTTGAAATTGTGTATGGGTTTAATCCATTAACTCAATTAGATTTATCACCTTTACCTATGACTGAGTGTGTTAATTTAGATGGCAAAAAGAAAGCTGAATTTGTTAGGCAGATTCATGAGAAAGCAAGACTCAACATTGAGCGAAGAATGGAGCAGTATGCAAAACAAGCCAACAAGGGGCGTCACAAGCTAGTTTTTGAACCCGGAGATTGGGTTTGGTTACATATGAGAAAAGAGAGATTTCTAGTGCAAAGGCGTTCCAAATTGCTTCCAAGAGGAGATGGTCGTTTCCAAGTCCTAGAGCGCATCAATGACAATGATTACAAGCTAGATTTACAGGGTGAGTAAATGTAAGTACTACTTTTAATGTTATTGATTTGAGTCCTTTTGATGTATGTGATGATTTGAGGACAAATACTTTTCAAGAGGAGGGGAATGATGCAAATCATGGCACAACTTCAAGTGATGGGAGCACGGCTAGGGCTAGCACATGGAACCAAGATTCGCTTCAAGTTCTGGTAGGACCAGTCACAAGAGCTCGGGCTAAACGGTTCAATGAGGCACTTAATGGATTAATCCAAGAGGTCAAGAAAAGAGAAGCATGCATGGTCAATACTGATGGTGAGCCAAGATTGGTCCAAGTCATCAAAGCAATTCCGGATAAGGATCATTAGGAGTTGATGTGTGCATTAGCATGAAGGGGCGTGTACTGTTCATATGTAATGTTCACACGTGATAGTTATCCAAGTTCAAGAAAAACTGAATAGTTATCTTTAATCACTATTTTGATAGTTATCCATTTTAATAGTTATCTTTTGTTTATTTTTAGATTCATAGTTTGTTTAGAAGTCAAATAAGGCATGTTTATCCAAAAGGATAAATTTCTTTTGTTTAGGATAGAGTTTGAATTTATGTAATTCAGCCTATTAATAGGCGTGATTCAAGAGTTAATGAAAGACATCAATTTTTTTTTTTTCAAAAAAGAATTTTATGCATTCTCTTTGGTTCTTTAAGACCTTTTTGAACTTATCGAAATTCTCCGCGGCATTCGTGCTTGACTTATCAATCAATTCTTCCATCATTGATTGTGGCGTTTATGCTATACCAAGGTTCTTGCTTGCATATAATTCTTCCATCATTGATTGTGGCGTTTATGCTATACCAAGGTTCTTGCTTCCATATAAACAACGGGTTAAGGTTTCCACTCAAGCCTGATTTTAGATCGATCTTAGAGACTTTCTTGATTCGGGTTTTGTCAATTTCTTGGTGGGGTTCATATCACAAATTAATCAAACAGGGTCAAAGTCTAGAAAATTAAACTTCACAAACAGAACTACTTTCTATACCAATAATGCTCCAAAATAGTACACTTCAGATCATTATAATAGTGAATATTAGAAGTAAAATATCCATAACATTCCGTTTACAATGTAAAATCTCATCATACATGCTATTTTTTGTGACCAATGCAACTACAATTGTGAGGGAAGAGAGAGAGAGAGAGAGAGAGAGAGAGAGAGAGTCTGGCTTAACAAGGTGATAATCCAAACAATTTGGCTTGGCTGAAGGTAAAAATATGTAACTGGAAAATTTTGTAATAAAATTCTAAAGAAAGTTATTATCCTTCCCAACCCATTTGGAGGGCACGCTGTTCCCACATTGAGGTTGCCTTTCTCTCCTTGATGAGCAATGCTTCCGCACGCTCCCTGGCCCCCTCACAAGTTTCTGTCGCCGCATTGCACTTTTCTGCCTCCTTTTGGTACTGAGAAGCTATCCTTTTCGCTTCAGCAAATGTAACATTCATATGTCGGTTGTGTTCCTCGGAAACGGACTCTTGCAGTTTAAGCTCCTCAGTCAGAAGGTCCACAAATTGCTTCTCCATCTCCTGCTTGAGATCTGGGTCATTACTTCCACAATCTGCCTCAGCATTATCAGGATTAGGCCATGTATTAGTACATTATTTAAAAGAAAACTTTAGAAAGGAGCATGCTAAGATTCAAGCAGTTGAAAGCGAATCACTTTCCTTAAACCTATAAAATCACCTTGATTTCTCAGAATGCACACACATAGAGATAAGGGTGAATTTGATAACCAGTTTGATCCAGTAAGTTATTCAATAAATCTAACTAGTAACATGCAAACTGACCTGTGATAGAGAGATTGGCTAAACCTGCAAAACAACAATAAGAACCAAAATCACAAAAGTTAGAATATGTTATTCAGAAAGAGATCTCTTTTATATAGCAATGCAAACTTAACTCAATAACATAAATCTATTCATCAATCGCAAACATGACAAGAAAAGCAATAACAAAGTTTCACTTTTGCACACAATCTAAAAGGCCTAAATAACTTCTGCTATTAGTGGAGATGGAATTGATTATGCAACGAAAACAAGATCATGAACTTATGACACAACAAACATATTTCCCACATTGAGAGTTCCACAAAAATATTCACGAGGCCAAACCTGCAAATAAAATTTAATTAAGAGAAACACAGAGAAATCAAACTTTTCTTAGATCGTTTGAACGAAAGATAATTTTAAATTGACCGTTCTTCAATTAATCTATTCCTAAAGTTCTCTTCTCCCATTAGCCTTTACAGCTAAAGTGAGTAATTTATTTATACATTCACGTCCAAGACAACTTCATAATCCCTTTCACTTCTTAAATATTGTAATATGATCATAGACATCAACTATTTCCATTTTGAGCCATAATTTAAAACTGTTGTACAGGTACAGATTACTCAGCAAATATGGATATAACAAAGTTTGATCTTAGATGTTCACCAACTTTTTAAGGAGGAAATACAGAAAACACAATAAAAGGGCCCTCCAACGCAAAGTACAGTAAACTTTACTGTGCTAAACTCATACATCAAAGCTGGGAAAGGAAATGGGTGTTTCCATTACAAATAACGTGCAAACTATTTCGGAACCACAACAAAATCAGTAGATAAATAAAAAACAAAAAACAAAGTGGTACCAAAATAACATCTGAAATAATCCATTAGATTCCTCTTATTTTTGTCTCAACGACAGGAATCAGAAGAGAGAGAAAAAAAAAGGGACATCACAACCTGAAAAGCGGATTTCACTAACTGAAATTCGAGGCTCAAACAAATACCCAGAAACAGAAAAATATGTCAGAGGGTAGAATAAGCAATGCCCATAAACGAATCCTTCAAATCGGCAAACGGGTATTCTTAATTTCATCTTACTCAGCTCAGAATCAAACGAAATTTTGAATCATTAAGCAAAAATCCAAACTGGGTCTCACTCATTTAAATAGAAAAACGTAATCTGAACCAACCCAGAATCAGAATCAAAACAAAGACGTACTCACCAGGAGCAATCTTGAGGAGGGACAAAGGAGGAGGGCAATCGCAGATACAAGGAGGACAGGAGTTCTTGGAATTGCCCAGATTTATGCCCTTCTTGAACCTCCAATACAGAGCTGGTCCGCAAACGGCGAGAGCCGACACGACGGCGAAGATTACCAGACAACACCTCAAGCAAGCCCCAGATCGCCTCGACATCACTCTCCTCTCTCTCTCCTCTCTCTTTTTTCTCTCTCCTCTCTCTATTGGGTGTCTTAATATTTTGATGGTTTTGTGTTCCTGAGTGTGAAGCGAGATCCAGAAAATGGAGTGTGTGAAATGTGATTTTGGATTGAATCTACCCACTTGTAAACATTCTCTTGATGTTTAACTGTTGTTGAAAAGGTCAGTGTCTATGCATTAATGAGCTGTGTGTGTAATTAATCATCATGAAATGTCACCACGAACCTTTACCAAAAGATGACATACCCACCCTTCCACCTTTTTGTTGACTGAAAGCACTTGTTACAATTTCTAACACAAAAAAAGAAAAAGAAAAAAAAAAAAAAACAAGTGCAATAGCACAATTTATGTGATTAATAAATTATAGCACAAGTTTTTAAAGAAAAAATCTATGGTATTTTTTTCCTACTGGTAGGGAACGATTTTAAAATCCATCCGATGAAGATCAAGGGTAAATGAGACCAGATAAGTTTGATACGCTCCTTCACTTGCACGCATGGGATTTAGCCCCGTGATTGCATAGATCCAAATATTCTTAAGAGCGCACAAAAATAACCAAGCTCACCACAAGAGCTTCAAAACCCTCAAGTCCCACTCAAAACAACCGAAGGAAACTTTCATGTTTAAACAATATTAATAAACAACCGAAATTTAAAGACATTGTTGCACCATTGTCGAGATTTTCAACTATTCCTCCCAATTAAGTCGTCGAGAATTTCAGAAGTCATGATTAAACTTAGCTGTCGAGAAGTACTGATTAAAGAAAGATGTTGAGGAAGTATCATACAACTTTGTGAATGTGGTTGAGAAGTCCCCAAAAGGGTCCCGAAGATATTTGTGTAGAGAAGTCGATAAATCTGAGACAAGGCAAAGATCAACCGAAAGCCCGTCAAATCATGAGAAGATAACCCTCACTCATATTCATATGTGAATAGAAGATCAAATGTGGATTATCATCAACAACCATGTGTTTAAATTCAAATAATTAAATATATAGATAAAGCTACGAAAATCCCTATATGAGGAAGGGATAGAAAGCTTATCTCATAATGTAATTTAGAGATAAGAGATATCATGTACAAGAGAATATTTAAATAAGAATAAAACTCCTCATTTAGTTTCTACGCATAATTTTTTACTCTAAGAGAAATTTTTTTTACTCTTTGAGATTTAGTGCATACACAAGTGGACATAAACAACGATATTCTATCGAACCACTATAAATTTTTTTGTCTTCTTTATTTTCTGCATTTATATTTCAGTCAATTTGCGAGTATCATAACGTGAGTGTTCTCAAAGAGATTAAATTTTGAGTTGACCAATTTTCACCATCAACAAACATCCATTTAACAATTTTTTATCGAGGAGCTTTTATGTTTGCCTTGGACTTGGAACCCATGACGCCACTGCTCCACTTCTTATTCGCTTGTTTATTTCTCCCCTGCATAATCTTTGATGGGTTGTTGGATTTAGTGACGAAGGGCGGCAGGCTGTAGTATAGGTTTTGCGAGCGATGAGGAGCGGTGGGTTTTGCAACGACTACGATTCGCGAGATTGAGTGGCCGTTTTCTGAGATCAGTGCAAAAGGTCACCGTTTTCTGGGTTTTCGTGACGAGCACTAGTGGGTTTGCGAGGGACGAGGAGTGTTCTTGCCGGGGTGGTTTTTTAGTGCTGGCGTCCAACTACCGACGCTGGTGAAGTGTTGAACGGAGTAGAGAGAACTTCTCAAGGATGATTGTCCGGCAAGGGAAGGTTTATGTCCGATAGAGATGTGAAGAAGAAACTCAAAAGTCAGATCTGAATTTTTTTAATTATTTTTTAAATGAATATTGTAATAATCATGTGAGAGATTTTATTTTTGTTTGGTAGTCTCTTATCCTATGAGGAAACTTTTTGACCGTAGTTATGTTTAAATCTATCCGGATACTCCTGATTATAGCAGCATATTTTGATTATGAGATACGGTAAATAGATGTCAAGATAGTTTTTCTGAATAGCTATCTTGAGAAAACTATCTATATGGATCAGTCAGAGGGTTACATAAAGGAAGGACAAGAGCAGAAAGTCTGTAAGCTGTAGAGATTCATTTATGGATTGAAGCAGGCATCTAGATCATGAAATATTAGGTTTGATGAGATTGTTAAGTCTTATGGATTTGATCAAAATACTGATGAACCATGTGTCTACAAGTCTAAGAAAGAAGACAAAGTGGTCTTCTTAGTTCTTTATGTCGATAACATTCTACTCATTAGGAATGATGTGGAATTGATGACAAATGTAAAAAAGTGGTTAGCCAACCAATTCTAAATGAAAGATTTGAGAGAGGCAAACTATGATCTTGGGATCAAGATTATTCGAGATCGTAAGAAAAAGCTGTTGGCGTTATCTTAGGCATCGTATATAGACAAAGTGTTGTCTAGGTTCTCGATATAGAACTCCAAGAAAGGAAATTTACCTTCTAGGCATGGCATTCATCTTTTTAAGGAGTAATGTCCAAAAACTCCACAGCAGGAAGAAGATATGAGATGGTATCCCTATGCATCTGCCGTGGAAAGCCTCATGTATGCAATTATGTGTACAAGACTAGATATCTACTACACAGTGGGAGTAGTTAGCTGTTACCAGTCCAACCCAAGATTAGATCATTGGGTTGCGGTAAAATGTATTATCAAGTATCTTAGGAGAGCAGGAAACTATATATTGGTATATTCCGGAGAAAATTTATCTATCACCGAATACACAGATTTTGATTTCCAATCGGACAGAGATAGTCCAAGGTCGACATCTAGATCTGTGTTCACTCTTAATGGAGGAGCTGTGGTATGGAGAAGTGTAAAGTAAAAATGTGTTGCTGACTCTATCATGGAAGCTGAGTATGTTGCAGCTTGTGAAGCCGTAAAGGAAGCTACACGGCTCTAGAAGTCATTATGGATATGGAAGTCATTCTGGATATGGATAAGCCAATTAAGCTTTATTGTGACAACAATAGAGCAGTGTCTATTTCAAAAGAACCTAGAAGCCATAAGAGTGCTAAACATATAGAAAGGAAATATCACTTGATCAGAGACATTGTAGAGAGATGCGATGTAGTGATTCTGAAGATCTCGTTAGAGAACAACCTTGTTGACCCATCATGAAGACATTTCCACTGAATGTATTTGATCGACACTTAGAAGGATATGGAATCAGAGACATGACACACCTACTTTAGAACAAGTGAGAGATTGTTCGGAATAGTGTCCTAGAAGCATAAGATGTAATAGGATATTTATTATTTATTTAATAAAAGAGTTTATTCATTAGTTTATGTGCATATATTTATGAATATTTTATGAATATCAATGCAAATTTCATGATTATTTATGTGACCTTAAACATTGTATATAAGTGTTATATGCGAGAGGATAATGTTTAAGGATAATGATTAAAATAATGTTCGTAATGAATTTAATTAAAGTTCAGAAACTTTAATTAAAACATTACTAATACATGTCATTCCTATTTAGAATGGAACGGTGTTATCTGCACTGTTAATATGACAAGATATTGAATGAGTGTATTATGCATAATGAGATTATGTAGAACAGGGACACAGACACAATATGAATTTATGATAATTTCTATTAAGTATAGAAATTCTCATTGAGTCTATCAATGGTCATATATGAAACAATCTTAATCCTGAGTTCTTAGTAAAGTCCTATTTATGAATTTGTGTCTTTTAATTTACTCGGTATGGATTCTGAGCTCTTGAATCCTATTCCTTGTATTTTGGAGGCATGATGAAGTAGGTAGCCGAGAATGCTATTATACGAGATGAAATCCATTCCTTCTTGAGAAAGAAGTAGATAAATAATTCTCTTGAAGGTTGATTTTATACTTGAACTAGTAGGAGCTCTGATTCATGAATTTGTTTTATGAATCACTGTCTCTTAGAGAATCAATGGTACTCAAGGATAAAGATGTAATTAGAGAGCTTAACGGATTTCACCTAGCTCTAATTATGAATTATTTATGGAGGATTGATCTATATGCAATGACTATATCAAATGGGCACTTCACAGTTTAGAAGTCATTTATGTCTATAATTACGAAAGTGCAATTTCAAGTTTATAGTGGAGTAACTATTGAAATTAATAGAATTAATTAATTAATTAAAGTGTTTAATTAATTATTAATTTTATTAGAGCTCGAAATTATAGGTCAATGAGTCCCCACGTCGTCCTTGTAATTCTACAAGACATAAAAGGGCAAAATGAGAATTTTAAAATTATGAAATTCTAAAATAAAACACTCAAAGATAATTAATTGAGAATTAATTATAAATTAAATAATTTGATTATTTAAGTTTAAGTTTAAGTTTGAATTTTGAAACACACATGTGAAGGTGTTCACATAGTGTGAACGCATGGCATAGTGTGAATCCCTTTGGGCCGGCCCTATTGAAGTGGGAGATAATTAACAAGCTTTATCTTAGAGATAAAGATAAGACTCTTTCTGGGAGTCTGATTGTTACTTTATAAATAAGAGATTGTAGAAAATTATGACACACAATTTTTTGCTCTAAGTGATAGTGGCCGAATTTATTATAGAGTGGGAAGGAAAAATTTTTTTCCAAAAATTTCACGTCGCGCATGTGTTGGTGTTTGTGAAAATCTTGAGTGTTCTTGCTAATCCCGTTTTGTTTTAGGTGTGCCCACATACACGTCTTCGTGGATTCAAGGAATTGACGAGGAAGATTCGCGTTTTTGAAGTTAGCATTGGAGCAAGGAGTGTTCGAGGTCAAAGATCACAAGCTATCATCTAGATCAATTGTTAGGTATAATTCCTAAGCCGGTTCTTGGTAAATAAATTAATGTGATTAATTTATTTGTGCATAAATTAATATAATCTATAGAGTGTCTCAAAAGTTTTATAAAAATTTTTATTATACATAATCCGCTACTCCGCGCTTCCGCATCCAAAACTGTTTCAGAAACCAACAAAAACTTCCTTATCTTTTATAAACTCAAATACTAAATATTAAAGTTCAGGAATTTTTGTTTTGAAAACTTATTTTAAAATAAACTATCCTTTAAACATACGAGTTTCAAAATTCACTTAATCGACTCATCAATATAAGTTCAAAACTAAATTATTAGAAAGGCATAATGTAGATACAAATAGGTTCCAATTACTCTTTAACTTAACATAGCCAAACATATGCTAGTAAATAATCATTTAGATCCATTCTTATAAACCAGACTTAGTCATGT